GACGTACATCTCCCCTCAGCGTTTGGCATACTTCATCCGTGCTGGTATTGAGTGCTCGCGGAAATGCGATCGATACTGTGATGGCCCTCGTCATTTCCTTACTTAAGTCGGGGCAAGCTGTGCTGCATCCACAATGCGCTCGGAAGTTTGCTGTGTGCAAGAGATCTCGTGGCGTCTACGATGCGAGAGCCTGGGAGAGAGTCAAGAGTTGGCTCGGCCCCTACTGCATCGCGTGTGCCAGTATGGTAGAATCTCTAGGTTTTGCGGATGACACCGTTCCTGACATTCGTTGGGAACGTTCGTTGATGACGATGAGCTGCCCCGGGCAACAGAGCTGATGATCGAATTCCGAACCTGAGCAGCTTCTAAACGTACTCAAAGTCACTCAACAGACTCCTCTCCAATCTTGACCATGACCGTCACCTTCCCTCTGACTCTAAGCTTGTCATATATCGCCTTGGCGTCCATAGGCGCAAAGCCGCTTCGCATTAGGTCCGGCAGCCATGCTCTTCGCATCTGAGCGGGATCTTTAGAAGACGTATCCTTCTGCATTGTCAAGTCGAGACAATGGAGGAAAGTCGGGATTACCTTGTGATTGTCCACCTCGTGACCGAACTCGACGAGTTTACTGAGCACGGCGGCGAAGGCAGGGCGGGAGAGTGCGCGTGAAGTCTGAACGTACTCTGACTTTGGCGAAGGCATCGTTGACTTGCCTTGTGTGCCATTCGAGGTGAGAGAGGACTCGACGACCGTAGAAGTCGGAGCAACAATTGGAATCGCGCTAATGGTCTGTCCGCGTCGCAAGAGGGTGCCTGCTCGTTGGTGCTGGTCTCTCACATCTCGATAGCGTTGCATCTCAACGTCCACAGAGTAGATGAGCGTCTCCATGTCCGGCGCGCTTGGCCGAGATGACCAATTGCGATAGCGAAGTGCCTCTCGTATTGGCAACCCATCATGCAGCCGTTCGGCGATCGTATGCACGGCTTCCGGGTCAGTCTGTGCCAAGGCACTGACAATTTTAATGGCCATGCACACACCCTCGGCCATCAGAGCATCTCGAATGCGGGTTGCGTCCAGATCAGTCTGTAGCGTGCGCAGTGGCTGGACCTGAGGGCTGCCGTAACGTGGTGGCAGCATAGCCAACGATCGTCCGTCCGACCAAGTACTTGAGTAAATACCCGACATCTGCGGAGGCAGTAGCTGGTGGGGATATGATGGCCCCACTGGCGGTGGGTAGTGCAATGCATACATTGGTGATCCAGCGAATCCGCTTGCGATTTGAGGGCGATAAGCAGAGGGTGGGTGCGAGTACTCAGAAGTAGGCACTGCATTCTGGTAGTAGTAATCTGTACGAGGTTAAAGAGCGCCCCTCGAGACTCCATTTAGCAGATACACACACTGTTGTACTGATAAAGATTGGTCACGTTGCCGTACGAGTCCCGCTCAACGTAGCTAGTACGCCCAGCTTGGTGGTATGTGTCGCCGACGTTGACACTTGAGTGACCAGAGGCATCGAGGGAGCCGACCTCGATGCCACGATCGTCGTTTCGAGGATTCATGGCCGCAGTGGCGGCGCAGGCAAACCGCGATCTCAAGGCATCGTATTTGAGCTGCTAGGAGACACGACTCGCGTCGGAAGCGACCAGCTACGAATGACTGTAGGGGCGAAGACTCGTCAATATCCAATAGAAGGACGTAGTGGAACGAGGTGAGAAGTCGAGCGTGAGGCCGCTCGGAGGGGATGTGGCGCACAGCCACGCCGTTAAGACTACGACTCACTCTGCATTGGACAGGATGTAACAGAGGCCACGATGCCAATGCATACTTGTCAGACTCATGGTATCCGCGACGTCGGTCGGAATCTCAAGAAGAGGACTGTGAAGCCCGTGTACGACGAGGTTGAGAGAGCAGGAGCCTGGCGTGCCTGGGAGAACCAATCCGTGACTAAGCAGCTCCCAAGTAAGCTCCACGTCACGTCCACAGCTGACGTTGGTCTCTTTGGCACGCTCATTAGCCGTGCGACCTTCCTCCTTTCTTCCTTAGATACCTCTCTCACTGCCATTGAGTGACTCCCACACACTGTAGCCCATCATGACCTCTCTTAATCTCTCCACCAATGGCCCCTCGATCTCCAACTCATACAATAAGATCGTCAATGCCCCAGCACCGACTGGCCCCGCGGCAAACTCGCCCACATATGGCCAATGGGCAGTGTACACAGTGCAGGCACCACTAGTCAGCGCTTTCCAGTCAGAATCGGGCAAGGAGAGCGTGTTGAAAGTGCAGACTACGGGCGAGGGCGAGCTCGTGGATCTCATCGAGGAGTTCTCAGACGGGAGGATCCAATTCGCTTTCCTCAAAGTCAAAGACTCCAACTCTGGCCTGCCGAAGAATGTGCTCATTGGGTGGTGCGGCGAGGGCGTACCTGAGCGGACGAAGGGTTACTTCACAAGTCACCTGAATGCTGTCTCGAAGCTGCTACATGGCTATCATGTACAAGTCACGGCACGCTCGGATCGAGACCTGACGCCAGAGACTATCGTGCAGAAGGTGGCGGATGCTTCAGGGTCGAAGTATACGGGTGGAGGAGCAGCGCCTGCCTCAAGCGGACCACGGCCGCCTGTGGCTTCAAAGCCCTCCATGCCAACGAAGAGCTTTGGCGGTACGAGCGCATACCAGCCTCTTCCCGGTCTGAGCAGGGGAGCCGCACCACCTTCGAGGACAGACGGAGATGGCTGGGGTGAGGATGCACCTGAAGTGTCACGATCACAGCTCGAGAAGGTCGGCTCGGCATATCAGCCCACAAAAGTTGATATGGCAGCATTGCAGTCCCAAAGAGAGCCTTCCAGATACCAAGCACCGCAAAAACAGGATAGTAATAACCCTGATCTGGTGAGAGGAGGCTACCAACCGATCGGCAAGGTAGACATTGCTGCAATTCGGGCTCAGGCGCGAGACCCAAAAGACGAGCGGCCGACAGTTGTGAAAGGCGCGTACGAGCCGATCGGTAAGGTTGACATTGCCGATATCCGCCGAAAAGCGCAAGGTGGACCAGCACCTTCGCAACCCCCACCACAACAGTCGTCTAGCAATGACGACGATGAGCAGCCCAAGTCACTTGCCGATCGATCTGCTGCGTTCACAGAGTCCGAGCGCCTGACATCAATGCCGAAACCAAAGGTCGCCAATCGCTTTGGCTCGAGTACGAGTAGCTTCACCGGGACGAAAGCTCCAACGCCCAGTGGGTTTGGTGCCAAGCCACTGACCGGTGCTGCGCCAGTGGGCACTGCGAGTAAGACATTCGCAGATGAGGGTGGGAAGACGCCTGCGCAGATTTGGGCGGAGAAGAAGGCACGGGAGCGCGGTACAAGCATCGGAACAGATGATCGGCCGTCTTCTGGCACACCAGCCAGCCCGATTGCAAGTCAGCCAAGTGGAGGATGGCAGTCCGGCTACGGTGGAAAGAAGTGGGGTGTGCAGATCCCTTCACGGACAGGTGGTAGTGGAGTGAGTGAGCAAAAGACCGGCAATCAAGATGAAGAGCCTCGGCAAGAAGAGAACGACCACCCCTCGAATGGCACAGCTGCCATACGCGACCGCTTTTCTCAAGCACCACCACAACAATCGGAGCCACCGGCGCTGAACACCAGCACTAAACCCTCCGCCCCGCGCGGTGTCCCCATGCCCGGCCTCCCGCAACGGCCAAGCACGAACGATGTCCCTCAAGAACAACACCAGGATCTTCCCGCACCTCCACCTCGTCCCATTCCTGCCGACGAACCGGAAGAGGAAGAGGAAGACATACCGCAAGGCTCTGGCTCTCCCGTTCCTCTCGCTCGTCCTGTTGCCCGCGGCCCAAGCCCACCACCTCTCGACCGCGCAGCCTCCATCGAGCCGACCACGACGCGCTCCCCGCCGCCCATGCCGACTGATTCGATCGCCGAAGCAGCATCTCGCATGCAGATCTCCGAGCCCGAGATCCCTGCCGCAGATCCCGGACGCAAGGCCGCTCAAGCAGCCGCGGCATCTACATTTGGCGCTGCGGCTACTGTGCCTGCGCCTCAGAGCGGAGCTGGCAAGGAGGCAATCGCGCAGTACGATTACGAGAAAGCTGAGGATAATGAGCTGGAGTTGCATGATGGGGAGAGGATCACCAACATCGAGATGGTGGATGAGGATTGGTGGATGGGTGAGAATGAGCGTGGGGAGAAGGGACTGTTCCCTTCGAACTACGTTGAGCTGGTCGAGGGCGGTGCTCGAGGTGAAGGTGCGCCGCAGCAGGAGGAGGCTGAGGAGGCTGCGCCGCCAGCCAAGATTGGTGGAGGTGCGGGTGGAGCGGCGAAGGGCAATCCGACGGCGACAGCGCAGTATGATTACGAGGCTGCAGAAGACAACGAGCTGAGCTTTCCGGATGGGGCGAAGATCACTGATGTGGTAAGTTCTGATGTTGGCGAACGAGAAATTCTCATGTCCCGTTTGCTAATCACCTCACTCTAGGAATTTCCCGACGAAGACTGGTGGTCCGGTAGCTACGGCGGCAAACAAGGGTTGTTTCCTGCGAACTATGTCGCTTTGGATGAGTAGAGCACGGTCTCCGAAGACATCGGAGAGCTATTACATCGAGTCGGCTTGAGGCTGAGCTAGATCACATCATGGGGGAAGTGAATAAAAGTGTAGCGTATTGTCTTGTTTGTAAATCCCCAAATACAAGACTTATAACCTCTCCATCCTTAGTCCATATTTGCTTGCCTTTGCTCAAGAATAGAGGAGTCTTTGCCGGCACGCCCTGAACCTGACTGTAATGCTTCCTTTCCTGAGACCTTGTCTCACAGTATGATCGATTCGGCTAAGTAGGTATATTCAACAGGCGTCTAAGGGCCGAACTCTGTCATGCGGAACGTGACCTTCCCTGCCTTCCTCCAAGCCCTTTCAACGATTCATCCAACGAAACCAAAAATTAAGAGGGTATTTACATGCAACGCATGTCTTGAACGATGTCAAGGTCCCACCGAGATTCGAACTCAGGTCACCGGAAATTCAGAGCATTAACATGTCAGAATCCGAAGTGATAACCAACTACACTATGGAACCGATGGGTGTAAACTGCCCAACAACCGTTAATAAACTTTCAGTTTACTCAGCGCTTATGTCGCGCAAGATGGCGAGAGCGATCTGCTGAGTGTAATTTGGGTTCACTCATACTCTGTACGATTGAATGGGGACACACATACCTTTTATTAGAACGGGAAAACAGCGAGCGTCATCATATCGGCAGACGTATTACTGATCCTCAAGTATTCTGCTATGCTCGATCTCATGCTCCGCAGCTCGAAAGCTCGCCCCGATCCATCTCTGCATCGACCCCACTCCTCATGTCGGCAACGGAATCAGGCACATGCAGATCGAATCTCGTTTCTCAGTGTAGCTCATTGACTTTAAGGTAAGGTGGCTAATTAGCTGTTGATGAAATCGAGAGCTCTCCCACATATGATCAAGTGGGAGGACGAGACACTACAAGTAAGTCTGCTCTTCCATCTGGCTCTTACATTTCAATCTTCGCCACCGCGATCTTTCATAGCGGCTTGGAATTAGGAACACCAGGACCGACGACGCCCGGGAAACTGAAATTCTACAATCCTCAATCATGGCCTCCGCAGTAGTAAACGGTACCCCCATCGCCAATGGCAAATCCCACTCCACGCCCGCCACCTCAGTCCCGGAACCAGGCGTAATCTCAACACCCTACCTCATCGTCGGCGCCGGCCCAGCAGGAGCCTCTCTAGCCTGCTTCCTCGCCTCCCACGGCCAGACTGGCATCATCCTATCCGCCGCCTCAGGCACAGCCCGCGAACCCCGCGCCCACATCACTAACCCCGCAGCTCTCGAATGCCTCCGCGAGATCGGACTAGAAGACGCCTGTCACCATGAAGCCACGCCTGGCAGCCACATGCAGCACACGCGGTGGTGCCATAGCATGGCTGGCGAGGAGTACGCTAGGATTCACTCCTGGGGGAATCAGCCGGAACGGGCGGGGGAGTACGCGGCTGCGAGTCCGTGTAAGCATGTTGATTTGCCAATTCTTGTGAATAAGGCGAGGGGTGGGGGGTGGAAGGTAAGGTTTGATTCGACGTTTGTAGAGTTTGAGAGGGAGGGGGAGGATGGGGAGATCACGTCGACTGTGAAGGATGAGCTGTCCGGGGTGACTTACAAGATCAAGTCGAAGTATTTGTTCGGGTGTGATGGTGCACGAAGTCCCATCATGAAGCAACTCGATATTCCACTGAAGAAGGAACCAGGCCAAGGTCTGGCAATCAACATACAGATTAAGGCCGATCTGGAGAAGTACATGACGCATCGAACTGGCAACTTGCACTGGGTCTTCACGCCAGAAATTGAACATCCATCTTGGGGATGGACCTGTATCTTCCGACTCGTCAAAGCCTGGGATGAGTGGCTTGCCATTGTCCTTCCTTCTCCCACATTTGATATGGAAGCCTACAAGAAGAATCCACCAAGCCAGGAAGAGTACCTAAAACGCGTTCGCGAGTTTGTTGGCGACGACAAGCTCCCTGTCGAAATCATCGACGTTTCCAAGTGGTACGTCAACGAGATCGTCGCCGAGCAGTACAGCTCCGGCAACATCTTCTGCCTCGGCGACGCGGTCCATCGCCATCCACCGTTCAACGGCTTGGGATCAAACACCTGCGTGCAAGACGCTTATAATCTGGCCTGGAAAGTCGCCTATGTAGAGAAGGACCTGGCGGACAAGAAGCTGCTACATTCCTACTCCGCAGAACGGCAACCCATTGGTGAAGGTGTGATTCGTCGCGCAAATCAGGGTCTGCGGGACCACACTGCTGTCTGGGAGGCCCTTGGTGTACTTCCGCAGGAAGTCGAGGAGCGGAAACGACAGTTCGGTGAGCTTTCTCAGGCGACTGCTGCAGGCCGGGAACGAAGGAAGAAATTGCAGGAGGCTGTCGCTTACACCGCTCACGAATTTGGAGGTATTGGGGTCGAGATGAATCAGCGATATGAGTCTAGCGCCGTTGTGATGGCAGACGAGAAAGCTGCAAGACGAGCTGCGCCAGAGGATCCAGTGCTGCAGTATCAGCTTAGCACGTATCCCGGGTCAAGATTACCGCATGCGTGGCTGAATTCGAGGGTGCCTGTGGAGCCGATATCAACCATTGATATTGCTGGGCATGGGGCGTTCTGCTTGCTTACTGGCATTGGGGGCGGCGCATGGAAGGAGGCTGCGAAGAAAGCGGGCGAGAAGCTAGGAGTGGACGTCAAGGCGTACAGCATTGGTTGGAATCAGGACTGGGAGGACGTGTACGGCGATTGGGCGAATCGGAGGGAAGTTGACGAGGACGGTGTGATCCTTTGCAGGCCTGATCGGACAGTCGCATGGAGGAGCATGGGACCGAGGCAGGACGCAGCTGAGGTAGTGGAGAGAGTCATTGGTAAGGTGCTCGGAAGGGAATAGGGTACAGAGCTCGTTCATGAATGTCATTCGACTTTGTACATATCTACTCGTCTCTAAGCTGACCAACCAAACAGCTGCTTTGTCATGTCCACATGATGCACTCTAGTAAGATCCCTCCGTCTGGTACAGCGGCTCGAGCTTGGCATCTCGTTGCCAGCGAACGTATCGCTTGAACCACCAAGGAAGCCACACTCGGACTTGATAATGCGCATGCTTGCTCGTTGGAACGCCGAAGACGTAATCGAGCTCTTCCAACGTTCTCTGCTTTGTCTCAGGGACCACGAAGAAGATGACACAGAAAGCCAGCATGTTCAGCCCAGCGTAGAAGCAGAATGCACCGGTGGGTCCAGTGCTGGCAAGTAGGCTCGGGAAGGTCAGGCTGAGCGCACTGCCAACAGCGTTGTTGACGCAAATGGTGAAAGCGGCGCCGATCTCGCGATGCGATAGTGGAAAGGCTTCGGAGAAGTAGATCGATGGAATAGGGCCAATGCCTGGGCCGTAGAATACCGCAAAGAGGAAGATGAAGACGGCAACAAGGGGAAAGCGAGCGCCGTTCGACTCGGGGATGAGGAAGCAGAAACCGGTGGCGAGCAGTGTCCACGCCATCTGTGGGAAGGTGAAGAGGAGGAGGTTGCGTCGTCCGAATTTGTCCATCGTGAATCTGGTTTGATCAGCTGCTGGACAAACATGCACATGAAGCTGTGAAGACATACACTGCGGGGATCGCGAAGACGAAAGTAACAAAGCCCCAGCCGAAAGAGCACAATAGAGCATCTCGAGGGCTGTAGCCGGCTGCTGCGAAGATAGTGGAGGAGTAGAACGCCACGGCATTGATACCGCTGAATTGTTGGCCGATCACGATCGTTGAGGATGCGAGTGTCGCGCGGCGGATACGAGGTACGGTGAAGATCTCCATAGCTCTAGCCCAGAGCGTGCGGCCACCAAAAAGCTCGCCCTCAGCAGCGATTTGGGAGTGGGCGTAGAAGAGCTCGCGTGCAGCAATGAGCTCCGAGTTGCGGATTCGGCAGAAGTTCGTGAACGCCTTCTGGTAGCGACCTTTCTTGATGAGCCAACGAGGCGATTCGGGACAGAACCAAATGAAAGCCATCAGCGGTACGGCAGGGGCGAAAGCAGCGCCCAGCTGATAGCGCCAAGCCAAAGGTCCGATGTTCATGAAAATGAGATTGCTGCTGAAGCCCACCAGGATACCAAAGGCGACCCAAAGCTGGAAGCTGGTGACCATGCCGCCTCTAATATTGGCAGGGGCCACCTCTGCTGAGTATACGGGGATGGTGCTTATCTGGTATGGTGTCAGATGATGTGTGCCATCGTAGGTGAACGAAGTGCCGTACCTTGATGCCCATGCCCAGGCCCATGAACAAGCGGCAGATGAGCAGCTCGTACCAATTATGAGTGAATGCCTGCCCTAGTTTCGCCGTCAGCATGCGGTCGAGTCACGTGGTACCAGTCGTACTTACCCAGGACTGGGAACACCACGAACAGATTTGTGGCGAAGATGGTTCCGCGACGTCCAAGGAGCTGGTTCACCGGATCAGCAGCCCAAGCACTGAGTAGTCCGAAGAGTGTAGGAGCTGCATTGATGCATCCGACAAGCCAGTGTCTGTCTTCGATGCCGAATTCTGTAGGGAACGAAAGATTTGCGCCATTCGCGCCCTGTTGAACATATAAGACGAGGCCTGCGCGAGCAAGGAGCTATGCTTGTGAATTACCGTATTATCCCACCCTTGTATGGCTGAGCCAATCGACACAATACCGATGCACATATACATCGTCCAAGGCAGCTTCCATTTGTCTGAACCTAGGTCAGCAAGGTAACGGCCAGTCGACGGAGTTACGACCTTACGCGTAGTCTCCATACGAAGCCAATGCTTATCGTCTTCGTCCAGTGACGGGATACTCTCGAAGTCATCCGGTAGCTGTGCGACAAGAGCAGCCTTCTGGAAGGTTTCTGACTTCTCCGCGAAGCCGTACTTCCCGCAGAACGCATCGACTTGACCACGAAGCTCAGCCGTACTCAAGCCAGAGAGAGGATTACGGATCCGAGCATCGACGTTGTGATGCAAAGCCTTGCCAATGGTCGCGTCCTCGTGGTACTCGACGTTGGTCTTGCTTGGATCCTTGGTGTCCATGATGGATGTCTTTGCCTTAGAATCGACAAGACAATAAGGAAGATCTGATGAGACCAGATGGATGGAGAGCTAACGACAAAGCGCGATATGAGCGGCACCATATCGGTATACTTATGTGTTGGTGGTTCGACGAGACATCGCACCTTGACAAACCTTATCCCCAGTGGAGAAATCCGGGGTTCACACATGGCGACTAGGATCCCAGTTGCCAGGGCCGACCTGCGCAGGACAGAGTCAGGTGAGCGGTACCCAGACCAGCGGGGTCGGAGGGAATGTCGAGTAACCTAGAGCTTCCAGTGCCAAGAGGAGGCCGAGCTCGGCTCGCGGGAAAGTATTCCGAGAAATCCTGCGCAGGGCGGATGCGTGTCCTGTGCAGGCCACGATATTCCCGCTACTTGGCACACGCCGAGCCATGGAGAACCCTGTTCGCCATGCATTACTCCGCAGTTTCTCCA